GGAAGTGCAGAGCAGGCACTAGAACAGTATTTCAACCTCAACCCCACCACTCACTAGCTATGTCACCCCAATCATACAACTCAATCCTTCTGAGTCTCAGTCTCCTCATCAAATGATACCTACCTACCTTACGAGGCTACAGAGAAAGTAGAGGCAACATAGGTGAGGCATGGAAGGCTATACCTCTAAGTGCTAAATATTGTGATTATTAGTTTTTAGTTCTAATTACATTCTTCTGCCCGTGACCAAACTATAGAAATGCCTCATTGCAGAGAAGAGACTCCCATCCATGTCAAATGAAAAATAAAGCTCTAAATTAGAAAAAAAAGTCTTGGAAACAGAAAAGTATCAGTAGGAGTTCAGTTATAGATAACAAAGGCAATCTACTTCTTTTACAAAGAAAGGGGTTTCCTACAAGGACATGGGTGCTCACATCATTGGAAAGTCTGGAGAAGCAGGGTCTGGGCTTGGCCCCCAGAAGAGCAACACAAGACTGGCCAAACTGGGGGAGATGCTGCTCTGCCAGAGAGGAAGCCTGAAAATAAAGAAATGGGCACAGCAACTCTAGATTCTAGGGAAACATACGATCCATCTAGGGTCAGAAGCCATGGCCAGATGGCTGGTTCCAGAGCAGGACTGCCAGATAAGACACAGGATGCCTGTTTGAATTTGAATTTCTGATCAACAACATTTTCTTTTGAAAATGTTTTTCTGAAACTAAATTTTGGAATAATTTTTAGTATAAGTATATCCCATATAATAGGATATACTAAAAAAACTTATTGATTTGAAATTCAAATTTGAGTGACCTGTGTTTAACTGGGAGCCCTGAATTATTAATAATTTGTCTGAAATTCTAATTTAACCAGATTTTATTAGTCAGCTTTTTGTTTTATTACAAAGAATGCCTGATACTGGATAACTTATAAGGAGATTTAATCAGCCCACAGTTCTGCAGGCTTTACAAGCAGGGTGCCAACATTTGCTCAGCTGCCAGTGAGGGCCTCAGGAAACTTACAATCATGAGGGAAGGTGAAGCCCGAGCAGGCACATGGTGAGAGCAGGAACAAGAAAGGGAGAAGGAGGAGCCAGATTCTTTTAAACAACCAACTCTCCAGTAAACTAACTGAGGTAGAACTCACTTATCACCAAAAAGGTGGCGTGAAACCCTTCGTGAGGGATCTATACCCAAGATCCAATCACCTCCCACCAGGTCCCAACCTCCAACATTGGAGATCACATTTCAACATAAGATTTGGAGGGGACAAATCCAAACTATACTACAGTTATTCTATATTTGTATTTGCTAAATCTAACAATTCTACTCTAGCCAACTATTTTAGCATGAGCAGAAAGGTGCTTTGGATGATACTGCCTGAATTCAGCCTCATCAGATTGCATCAAACTGGCAGAAACTAAATCACATCAGGAACTCTGCTGGCTGCAATGACATGTGGGAGACAAAACTTTTAGCTTTCAGTATCTGTCTTATGGAAGGAATGCAAGATGTCTGAAGGGCATATGACAAGCAAATAATTCACACCACAATATCTATAAAATAATGGTGATCCCTGGTAGTTGTAATTTGTGTATTATTTAACAAATATGTTATGAGCATAAATTAGCTGCCAGGCACTACAGGCATTGGAGATACAGCACTTAACAAAAAAGACAAAATTCCTGTCCTTATAAAGCTTATATTCTAGTTAAAAAAATACATAAATTAACCAAAAAAAAAAAAAAACTGAAAACAATACAGAAGTGCATAAAATTGAAAAAGTCATCCATAATTCTACCACTCTTCTTTCATCTTGATGTATAAACAAATTTTAATAAAGTGAAAAATCTTCTGCTCCCTTTCTCCTTTCTCCCTCCAATTTTACCTTCCAGAGATAACCATCAGTCGAAGTCCTGTGTGTGTGTTTGTGTACTTATTGTAAATAAATGAAACCCAACCAGTAAGTCCTACAACTGAGAAGCATGTAGACTCAGGGAACCTTCTGAAGCGATCAAAACCAAGCAAAGTTAATTAGAAAAGATGAAAGCTAGGCATCTTTTTCCTTTTCCCTTGGGGCATGAGTACCTCATTTACATCCTATGACCTCCTGAAGTTACTTTCTTCCACGTTCTCCATCCTCTCAATCCTTCCTTCATCATGCTATCCTTCCCTTTATCTGCCCTGGATCTTCCAACTCTCAGAGTGGAGCACATACAGGACAAGGTAAACCTTTTTCTGTAGAGTACTGATCAATTTTAATATGTCCAATTTTATCGGCGATGCTAAAATACCTGCAGTCTACTAATGTGAAGACTGAGGGAGAAAAAATGACTAAGAAAAAAAACCCTCTTTCTCTACCTCCTTCTGACTACAGAGCCTTATTTTCCTTCTATAATTTACTCACAAAAACTCTGCTCCAGCCCCTCTCCACAATATGCTTCTTTATTTTCTCACTGCTGTATCTCTGTCCTGACATTCAGTCTGTATAGAGAGTCTTACTATTCAGCACCTCTGCCCATGGGCATTTTCTCCTGCTCAGGACCAGCTTAAATGCTTCTTCCTCAGTGCTGCCATCTTAGATCCTGAGACAGGTTTTATTTATTTAAGTGCAAGTAGTTTACTTGGGAGGAGATCCTAGCATGCTTTTGTCTTTGCCAGGGGAGAGGGAGATAAGACAGGGAAGGGAAAAAGCCAACAAAAGGTGTGGCCACAGAAAAAATTATATGGCAGGTCACTGGGGTTTAATCCCACTGGGGAAGTCAGGGAGAGCTATCCCTTCAAGAGACAAGGGAGCTGAGAGTTTATCCTTTAATTCCCTTCTGTCATTAGCTGAAGGTTCCTCCTAGTGTCATCAGCTCCTCTTCAGAAAGCCTGGCCTGGGCATGGGCTGAGAGAAAGAAATGCCTCCCGTGGAAAATCACAGATGCTTGCAATAGGATTCTGTCAGTGCATGCAGAAACTGTGGGTGCCAAGGGGATATGAGCCAGGGGACATACAGCATTTTGAAAAGTTAGACATGTTTTGTCCTACTCTGCTCGCATGACCCTTGGATTGTATCATTTCCCCAATAGTTATCACATCCTGCCTCGTGTTACAAGGATTTGTGTACAATTAGAAAAAAATATTAAATTACTAACTGTCTCAGCCTGGGCTCCCACCAGAAAGTAGACCCCAAGGCAAATGCTTCTGTGTTACTACTTTATCGAGAAGTACAATCCCAGGAAAGCAGGGACACTGAGAAGGGAGGGTCAGGCAAGGAAGACAGAAGCACCAGCATGAAGTGTGATTTGAAAGTGGCCACCAGTAAGTACAACTAATTGCATAATCACTCTGGACTATCCTCCATGGAGCCGTGTACACTCAGTGTCTCAGAACACTCCAGCAAGAAGAGACGGAAGAGGTTAGAATTTATCTACCAGTTCATTTCTCCCATCACCAAAAAGGTTCATCAGACAGGAACTGTCCCCTGCACGTCCACAGCACATAGGGGCAGGCACTGAGAATCCCACAGCCTCTATCACCTCTTTCAACAGAGAAGCCCCAGGGCAGTCGGCGAGTGACTTGCGGCATAGGCAGGAGGCAGGGGCTGTCTGTGGCTGCATGTGGTTTGTCCGAATCTCATCTGTGGCTGGGGCAGAGATGAAAAGGCATGAAGATAAGTGAGAGAAAGAGGTTATGAAGCAGCTTATTAAATTTGTCTGATTTACCAAGTAAAATAACTCACCAGGGGTGACCCAATCCTCACATGGACCCACACATCATACCAAGAAAATTTTCCTGAAATAGTGTGAAACATCCCATGGTGGCTTACAAATGAAAATCAACATTCTGGCTAAGCATAGTGGCTCACGCCTGTAATCCCAACACTTTGGGAAGCCAAGATGGGAGAATCACTTGAGCCCAGCAGTTCGAGACAAGCCTGGCAATATAGCAAGACCCCGCCTCTACAAAAAATAAAAATTTAGCCAAACATGGTGTTGCATGCCTGTAGTCCTAGCTACTTGGGAGGCTGAAGCAGGGTGGTCACTTGAGCTAAGGAGATCAAGGCTACAGTGAGCTATGATCACGCCACTGCATTCCAGCCTGGGCGACAGAAAGATCCTGCCTCTTAAAAAGAATTACTTAATTGACTAATTAAATAAAAGTCAACATCCTATTATGAAAATCTGGTACATCAAACTAAAAACAAAGAAAGCTGAGTGGAGAGAAGTATTCTTTCCAAATGCCTGCTCACAGTGAACACAGGTCTCTGAGGAGATGGAGATGTACTGGAAGAATAAAACCAAGAAGGGAAACAACCCAAATGAGGCAAATATGAGTAAATTTAAAGTTAGGAAGCCAGGCCTGGAGCCACGTGCCTCATGCCTATAATCCCAGCACTTTGGGAGGCGGAGGCGGGCCAATCACCCGAGGTTGGGAGTTCGAGATCAGCCTGGCTAACATGGTGAAACCCAGTCTCTACTAAATATACAAAGTTAGCTGGGTGTGGTGGCACACGCCTGTAATCCCAGCTACTCAGAAGGCTGAGGCAGGAGAATCACTTGAACCTGGGAGGTGGAGGTTGCAGTGAGCCAGGATCGCGCCACTGCACTCCAGTCTGGGCAATAGTGAGACTCCGTCTCCAAAAAAAAAAAAAAGTTAAGAAGTCTTGCTGTTATCAGTGAGGCAAAGGGAAAGAGTTCTCTGGTTCATTCAAAGATTCCTCAGAGACACTCTATAAAGAGTTTTTAGTTGTTTTATTTTCACTCATCAACTCCTGCAATGCAAGAATTATAAATATATACAGATTTTATATGTATCTTTGATAGCTGCATTAAAGAGGCAGAGGGAACTATCTCAAGGAAACATGATGTCCAAAATCTTTATAGGTGCTGTCCTAGAAGGCAGGCCACATGTAAAAGAGAAACACGTTTGTCTATTGGAAGAATATAGGTATTAGGAAGACTATTGACTTGTATACACACTGTTTAAAGGAAAAGAGAAGGGTTTTACTTGAGTTCAGTTTTTTATAGTCATCAGTTCTGTTTATTTTTTTAATCTGTATACTGTTGAATACATTATCAGCAAGGATTGATGAAAAGGTCGATGACACTTTTTCTACAATATATAGTATTATTTCAAAAAGAATTACTTTAAAGAAAATATTTTAAATGTTAAGAAACATTCCTATTTAATTCCTTAAGAAACATTTTCCTTTAAATTTTGCAGCCTTGGAAAAATTCAGTTATCAAGGTATTCCAAATATGCAGAAAATGACATAAATTTTATAATTAATGTATAACAAACATTTTATTAAAATGCATAGAAGGTTATATGGAAGACTAAGCATAATGAATACAATAATGAAAATGGTGGAACCTTTTAGACAACAAATACGTTTCAGTTTCAGAGAGAACAGTTGTGTAAATTACTCTAGCAACCACGGTCTATGTAATCATATAACTGAGTTATGGTCTTCAAGATGAAGTGCTTGGTTATAGTCAGCCATAGCTTCCTCAATCAGACCTATTTTACAACGAACTTTTGCTCTAAAATTATATACTAGAGCATCATTAGGCTTCAAAGACAGGGCTGCAAAAGAAAAAAAAATCAAGATATGTTTAAGCTAGCACTCAAAAAATAGTCTCATTTCCTTACAAACAAAAATTGTATAAGATATTTTTTTAAAAAGTAACTCAATGGATGAAATCAAGAACTTTAATACTTTTTATTTGAAAATATTTTTCTTCCAACAGAACTATTTAGTTAAATTAAAAATATTGAATCTTTCTAAGCAAACTAACTTGGGGAAACACAGTACAATGTCTTTCTTCGAAAGGTTGGCATTGTTTGTGTATAGTTTTGTAATAATTCTCTATATCTCAGTTTACTAGAGCTTTAAGTTAAGACATTACATAAAGGAATCTATATCGATTATATCAAGGACATGATATCTAAAACCACTAATTCTTATGTAAGTTTATCTAAATAAATAGACCTAATGATTTTCTTCTTTTGTAGTCTAAAAATAATCACATCAACCACTGCAATCTTACCAAAATAATTACCAAAAGTGTACCTTTATTAAGGTCTTCCTCAGCTAGTTCATATTGCTTTAAGCAGTAGTAGAAATGTGCTCTATTAAAATATACTGCAGCCCAAAATGGACACCTTTCAATCACGTTTGCAAAATCTCCTTTTGCTTCTTCGTATTTCTTTAATATTGTATTTGTAATAGCTCGATTCATGAGAATATATTCATTTTCTGGATCAAATTTTAAAGCTTTTGAGAAGTAGCCACTGGCCTACAAAATATGAAGATAATGATATATTTTAATTAGCAACTTACTATACCGAAATTTGAAGCACTTTTAGTCTTAATTTTAAATTAACGCCAGTGGCATACCAAGGGGGCAATAGAAGCATTTCATCCCAGGTACAGAGGTGCATTGTCTGCAGAGAATGTAAAAAGGTAAACCCAACCAAAAGTTGATCTGTTTTTTGTTATTACAATGTGTCAGCAATTCTAGATAATGTCAGTGATATAATACTCCTGTTGGCTGGGTTAAAATGCTCCCACTGGCTGGGTGCGGTGGCTTATACCTGCAATCCCAGCACTTTGGAAGGCTGAGGCAGGTGGATCACCTGAGGTCAGGAGTTCGAGACCAGCCTAGCCAACATGGAGAAACCCCATCTCTACTAAAAATACAAAAATTAGCTGGGTGTGGTGGCAGGCTACCTGTAATCCCAGCTACTCGGGAGGCTAAGGCAGGAGAATTGCTTGAATCTGGGAGGCGGAAGTTGCAGTGCGTGGAGGTCACACCAATGCACTCCAGCCTAGGTGAAAGAGCAAGACTCCATCTCAAAAAAAAAAAAAAATCCTCCCACTGCCTCTTACCCCAAATCCCAGATCCCCAGATCCCGGTATAGAGATAAAAATATGTTAAAGCATAAAATAGAAAAGAAGGCCACAACAACAGGATAAAATACAAATTAGAAAAATAACACTTGGTTTTTGTCATTTACTGATTTGCGTCTGTTGAACCAGCCTTGCATTCCAGGAATGAAGCCAACTTGATCATGGTGGATAAGTTTTTTGATGTGCTGCTGGATTCAGTTTGCCAGTATTTTACTGAGGATTGTCACATCAATGTTCATCAGGGATAGTGGCCTAAAAATTTCGTGTGTGTGTGTGTGTGTGTGTGTGTCTGCCAGGTTTTGGTATCAGGATGATGCTGGCCTCATAAAATGAGTTAGGGAGGATTCCCTTTCTTTCTATTGATCGGAATAGTTTCAGAAGGAATGCTACCAGTTCCTCTTTGTACCTCTGATAGAATTCGGCTGTGAATCCATCTGGTCCTGGACTCTTTTTGGTTGGTAGGCTATTAATTACTGCCTCAATTTCAGAACTTGTTATTGGTCTGTTCAGAGATTTGACTTCTTCCTGGTTTAGTCTTGGGAGGGTGTATGTGTCCAGGAATTTATCCATTTCTTTGAGATTTTCTAGTTTATTTGCATAGAGGTGTTTATAGTATTCTCTGATGGTAGTTTGTATTTCTGTGGGATCGATGGTGCTATCCCTTTTATCATTTTTTATTGCATCTATTTGATTCTTCTCTCTTTTATCTTTATTAGTCTAGCTAGCTGGAGGTGTCATGCTACCTGACTTCAAACTATACTCCAAGGTTACAGTAACCTAAACAGCATGGTACTGGTACCAAAACAGATATATAAACCAATGGAACAGAACAGAGGCCTCAGAAATAACACCACACATCTACAACCATCTGATCTTCAACAAACCTGACAAAAACAAGCAATGGGGAAAGGATTCCCTATTTAATAAATGGTACTGGGAAAACTGGCTAGCCATATGCAGAAAGCTGAGACTGGATCCCTTCCTTCCACTTTATACCAAAATTAACTCAAGATGGATTAAAGACTTAAACCTAAGACCTAAAACCATAAACACCCTAGAAGAAAATCTAGACAATACCATACAAGACACAGGCATGGGCAAAGACTTCATGACTAAAACACCAAAAGCAATGGCAACAAAAGTCAAAATAGACAAATGGGATCTATTTAAACTAAAGAACTTCCGCACAGCAAAAGAAACTATCATCAGAGTGAACAGGCAACTTACAGAATGGGAGAAAATTTTTGCAATCTGTCCATCTGACAAAGGGCTAATATCCAGAATCTATAAAGAACTTAAACACATTTACAAGAAAAAAACAACCCCATCAAAAAAATAAGCAAAGGATACAAACAGATGCTTCTCAAAAGAAGACCTTTACGTAGCCAACAAACTTATGAAAAAATGCTCATCATCACTGGTGTTTAGATAAATGCAAATCAAAACCACAATGAGGTATCATCTCATGCCATTTAGAATGCTGATCATTAAAAAGTCAGGAAACAAGAGATGCTGGAGAGGACGTGGAGAAATAGGAATGCTTTTACACTGTTGGTGGGAGTATAAATTAGTTCAACCATTGTGGAAGACAGTGTGGTGATTCCTCAAGGATCTAGAACCAGAAATACCATTTGACCCAGCAATACCATTACTGGGTATATACCCAAAGAATTATAAATCACTGTACTCTAAAAACCCATGCACACGCATGTTTATTGTTGCACTGTTCACAATAGCAAAGACCAACCCAAATGCCCAACAATAATAGATTAGATAAAGAAAATGTGACATATATATACCATGGAATACTATGCAGCCATGATAAAGGATGGGTTCATGTCCTTTGCAGGAACATGGATGAAGCTGGAAACCATCATTCTCAGTAAAGTAACACAAGACAAGAAAACCAAACACTGCATGTTCTCACTTTTAATTGGGAGTTGAACAATGAGAATACACGGACACAGGGAGAGGAACATCACACACCAGGGCCTGTCAGTGGGTGGTAGGTTGGAGGAGGGATATGTAAATGATGAGTTGATGGGAGTAGCAAATCAACATGGCATATTTACACCTATGTAACAAACCTACACATTGTGTACATGTACCCCAGAACTTAAAGTACAATTAAAAAAAAGTAAACAGGAAAACAAAAGAAGAAAGAAAAGTAAAACTTTGTGTAAAAAAGCAGAGTAAGAGCTCAACCACAAGAGACTTTTCAAAATAAGGTTCTAAGACATACAAGAGTGATAAAAACTCACTTATACCAAAAAAAAGGTATAAAAAAGAGAGAGGAAATATCAGCTTGTTGAAAAGACCAAAGACTTGAGATTATTCACAACTCATCATTGATCTGAAAGGGACCCTCAAGTTAGTCTGCAAAACAGTATTGGAGTCCTGGTCCAGGAGCCATTTGCTAGAGCTCTGCAAAGAGGCAAGTACCAAAATTGAGAATAAACAGTAAGTAACTTTTATAGCATTTTGACATGGCTATGACATCCCAGCACTTGATCACATTTCTAGTAATTCATTTTTATTGGGTTTTAGCAATGTATATTGATTACAATATACTAGAATTTTTTTTAACTGGACTTTCACCACAAATAGTTGAGATGCTGATTAGACATCCTGCTAGTCAACTTAGAAATCTCTAATTCCCTGATGGATGAAAACCTGGCCGCTACTTTAAAACCTACCTTAAAGAGAGAGTCACTTTTCACAGTAGAGCTTGCCACTCGCCAATTACTTAATACTCAACTTTTTTCCAACCAAACATAATCTGGCTTCTATTTTCCCCTATTCCATGAATTCTGTTGTTGCTAAAATTGCAGCTGTCCTCAAGCCTAATGGACACATTCTAGTTCTTGTCTTCCATGACATTTCTGTGGCATGGACACCTTCGGTCTCTCCTTCCTTCTTAAAATTCTCTCTGTCACTGAACTACTTTCCTCTATGTTTCCCGAAGAGCTGTCCTCTATTCACTTCCATCATGGGTGATATGGAACACTGATTGCACAGTGGCTGAGAGCCCAGACCATAGAGTCATATTGCTGGGTTTATATCCTGCCTCTACTTGGAGTGAGTTACTAAAACTCTATTTGCATCAGTTTCCTCATCTGTAAAACAAAGGTAACAAATAAAACTCCACTTCCAGTGTTGATGTGAGGGTTAAGTGAACCAATATGTAATGTATTGAGAACAATATGCAGAAAGTAGTAAGGACTCTGTCAATTATTACTTATATATCATGTTTTTCCCGGTGTATATACATGGAGAGGGAACATCACCTTTAGGCAATACTGCATGAATTTTGCTTCCTCTTACTTTTGAGAGGTAATTAGCTCAAGATGTAAAATCCATCTCAACCCTGAGACAGGCTGGGGGGAAGGGAGACAGGATTGACATCATTCTGTGAAGAGCTTGAAGAGGATTCTCTCCTGAAGAGAAGGCTGCACCCCCAGTTCTCAGAAATGAGGCAAGGGAAAGAGTCCAAGCCAGGCCAAAACTTTCTTCCTAAAGTAATTTAGACTTCATTTTGATTCACCAGTAAATTATCAATAAAGAAGACACAATTACACATCACAAGGCAAACCTTCAATCATGTAAGAGCAAATTCTTTTTCTCAGGTAAGAGAAAAGAACTTCGAACTGTGTAACTTTCTACTGTAGCTGCCAAATATATTACTTAGAAAATGAAACCTATAAATTTAATGAGGTTACTTGAAGTATCAGAATATTAACTATGAAGCAATTAGGGGCTAAAGGCATCTACCACAACAGATGGCCTTGATTTTTTAATAATTGGTTTAATGCCCTTATGTTGTAATTCATTAAAAAGCAGATCCAGTTATTTTTTAAAGTCACCTGTAGTTCATAATGTATGCAAGTAGCACATCTAACTGTGGTTTAAGATCATTAAATCACATTAAGTGGTTATCATTAAGTCACTAAAGATAAAAGAAGCCAGATCACACACATTTTTTAACCCTCTAGAGTTCATTAGATCAGTTGAGGGACCCTTCCTCCTAGCCTAAGTCTTACCTCCTTTATAGTCAGAAATAAGGTGATGAGGGCAGAGGGTGAAAGGAAATAAAAGCCATTTTCTCCACGGAGCCCAAAGCATACTAGAATAGCTGAATACCTATTCCCAAAGCTTGCTAGTCTCTGGAGGGAGTGTGCACTGTAAAGCTCAGGCATCCAGTATATCAAGTCAAAAGATGGAACATATTTTACATGAAATATATGCCCAGATAATTTGTCTATACTTTGGAGGGAATACAGCCATACTTCAAAGAGAATTTAAACTACACTTTGGATCTAACCAAATACTTTTCTACATGATGCCCATATAAGTAATCAAAGACAAATGAATGAAAAAGGTGAATAT